TCCTGCCAGACGCGATTGTCTGCACCCTGTCTGTACTTCCGGCCACGTTGCAACTGGGTCATCCCACAGCTTAGTACATATGGTCCTCTCGAAAATGTTCCTTGGGTGTGTGTGTATGTGCATTACAATATTTGATGCACACAAGCCATTCCATGGAAAACAAAACACTTGACCAAATTCCTATCAAAGTTTATTGCTCAAATGCCACTTGTGCATTTCAGAGATGAGATGTTAAACAGAAGATAGTTCTTCGTGACATCACAGGAGGAAATGACAAAGAGAATGAAAAGCAAAAGGTAGAAAGAGAAAAATAGTCATGCACGCAGTTCTTCAACAGTCGGTCGTGTCATGCGCCATGCTGGGGCATGACTCAGACGGGCACACAAATTTTCCTTTGGGAACAGCCGTCTGTGCAGCATTTCTGGCCCGGTGGACACTGGTCAGTAGCAGTACTGCAAGAGAGGAGGGAGAGTGCGTGAGAGATGGCTCGCTTTCCTCTGTTCAGCTCCAAGGAAGGAGAGGAAGAGAAATTGTAGGAGAGGAAAGATGCGCGTTTGTCGAGAAACTTTGCATCTTCAGAATGACGTATTTCTGAAGATACCAGTCTGGAACTTAGCTGAAAACTAATCAACCCCATTCTAATTATTCTAGAAAGCTTTTTACATGGTAGTCGTTTTCCACTGCATGCTAAAAAACATCAAGTACCATAAATTTGCAATATCATAAAGAATATATTGGGCCAAATATCCATATCTAGAAACAGTAAATAAATGTCATTACATTTCCTCAGTTCACTAAATGAGTCCTATTGGACTGCTGTTATATTACTCAGCTTTACGTACAGTTGATTTTACTTTTTAAATGAAACTATCATCACTATGAAATTATGGTATTTATCAATGCTCATTTCTTAACCATGTATTAGTTTCCACCACGGTAATAAATTATCAGGCTAATAATACTTATTGAATTGTGAGCTTGACCTTAAATGAACAAATAATTTACAAGAAAAACATATTAAATGTTGAAAATCTAAATCAAAGTATTCATCGGGCTCCGGCAGCTGGAGCGTCCGAAATCCCCGAGCCGAGCGGACGAGGAGCGAAGAGGAGCCGGAAATACTTACGGGGAAGTTGCCGTCGAAGAAGTCGTAGCAGGGAGCGGGGTTGGGGCAGCGGGGGGGAGGCGGGGGATCTGTTGGAGAATAATAGGAAGGAATGAGGAAAAGGAAGAGTGTGTGTGTAGGGGGGGGGGGGGTGGAGGGGCACTGGGAAGGTGTGTGTGGCATGCAAACATTTTACAGATGAATATGTTTGTTGTAGCTCAATGGGATGTATCTTTATAACTGTATTCACGTCCATATACCTCATGATTCCTTAAATATAATTGCGTATCTATCTATCTCAGAATAGAAAAAAAAAGAATTGAACCTACAGTCTCACTCCTTGAAATGAATATAACATGCGTTTCTTATATAATTCCGCGCCTTTACTCAACCATGCAACACAAAGGTCAAAGGTCACGGGTCACTCACCACAGCACACGTGAGTCTTGGCAGGAGTCTGGCAGTAACGAGAGCACTTGTGGCTCGCCATGGCTGCCACGACGCAGGCAGCGAGAAGGACAACGAGGCGAAGGCGCAACTGCAATGCAAATTCATTTTAGGGTCACGTATACTTATATATTCTAAACGCAAAGAGAAGGCAAACTAACAAATGCTTTAGTGGAAGTCTTGATCTCTACGTATATTTCTAAGGTATGGTAATACTTTTTTAATGATTAAAGCAATCCAGGTTAACCTTAATAAAGCTTTAGAGAATCCAGTAAAATAATAATAATAATAATAGATATACAGATCGACACAATAGAAAATAATGGATAAAGATAAAGTCATCTTGGAGAGCAGCCAACCATCGCGTAGAATCAGAATGTGTCGTGTCTACAGGAGGCTGCAGGATGAACTGTTGATGCAGGCAGGAAACGGGCTTTTTATAGGCCTCCAAAGTGCGTGCACTTGCCATCATAGCCAGTGGCAACAGCATGAAGGTGAGCCGTAAGTGCTGTTGCTGACCGCAGGCATGCTGATTGTATAACGTCTTCATACATGCATACATACTGAATTACATATGCATAAAAGACATAGACACGCACCACATATATATATATTTTACTTATCTATTTGTCTGTCAATCTATCTATACATCTATCTATAGTGGCAAGAAAACGAGGATAACAACGGTCATGGTATATGCATATATTTATATACATATATGTGTGTATACGTATATATGTATACATATATGTATATATACATATACATGTACGTATATGTATATATGTATATGTACATACACATATGTACACGCATACATTTACATATCTATATATACATTAAATACATGTATACATATACAATTATATCGTATGTGTGTATATTTGTGTATATACGCACATATAAATGAAACACACAAGCACACACAATCACGCTCCTGTTAACAGA